GAACAATGCTAGCCCAAACTACTGCTAACGTCTTGTGTTGAAGAAAAACAAAGAATGTCAAGCACACATGTTCCTGGATGTACTGCAAATGTCCAGACTTTGAATGAATGCCAGATAGATCCATAGCTGTCCTATTCATTTATCCAAATACTGTACACTAAGGTTGGGCGATTGGTCGAATTATTCGACCATCGATGATTGGCCAAGTCATTCGCTGATAATTTTTTTATGAGTAATATTTTTTCCTATAAATTTGTCTCACAGATTAGATGGCAAATACCAACATTAAATCAGCACTTGTTCTATGTACATATTACACATCATTTGAAAGCTATGATTCTTGTGATTCCAATGATATATGGAAATAAGGCGTTCAACCATAACTCTAGACATAGTAAACAATTGTAAACCAAGGAAATTCAAAAGACAGAATGTCTAAAGATCTTTTGCATGAATTTATTGCCCTTTGTCATTTTTTGGACTGACAAATATTGCTGTAAAAATGTTTATATATCACCTAAACTTACTGTACACAGTTGGACACAGAGTTCATAGCTTTAGGTAGCATCCTAAAACCATCAGGGTGAACAGCCAATCAGCATGCAGCTTATTTAATATTCATGACATAGCAAAGTGGGCAAGGTAAACCAGTCTTTCTGTTGTAGAGCTTTATTATGGGGTTGTGTTTGGCCATTTTCAAGTCAAGTCTTACTGATTAATCATCATCCTTGGGCAGCTTATGCAGGAAATTGGGATTGGAGACATTTTTAATGTTCAGAGTGACCAAATTTCAAAAGGAACAATCATTACATGGTTACTCGGTGAACACCACCAAACCCGATATGAACCAAGTGTTTTCTCTTAACACATTAAACACTTTTTGAAGCACATTTTGTTTTCACTGCTGCATTTGAATAGCCTAGTGAACTAGACCAAATTCTTGCTTTGCAAAGTTTGGTCTAGGCACGCTCCATTGGAACCTCCGCAGCTCCTACCAGGACTCTGGCTAGCCAATCACAGCTCTCTAGAGGGGTTTCAAACACATAAAGAGCTGTGATTGGTCCATAATGGTGGGCCAATCATAGTGCTCTATCTGCTTAGTGAACAAATCACAGAGCTTTATCCGCTTTGTGGGCCAATCAGGGCACTCTATATGCCTGGTGGGTGGGATGATGCAACAGAGTGAAACAAGAGTATGTCACATTCATTGTCCAGTGGAATGCGGAGATCATTTGAAAAACAACGGTAGAACCCGCCCCACAACCGAGAGCCGTCAATGGAGCGTGGCCAGACTAAATAATACATTTATTTAGTCTGGCTTGCAAGGCTAGCATTGGAACTCACTGTACATAATTCTGAAAACTTGAGAAAGCCCCTGTAGTGTACTGATAATCAATTTCTCGGACTGATTGCATCAAAATGACCTTTAACCAAATTGCATTGATTTCATATTTCAGACGAAATGCTGATAAAAAATCCTCCGTGATCTGGACTTGTATTAATTGAGTACTTACTAAAACTGTACATAGGATAAGTCTGTCTAATGGTCTTAACTCTCCTGCCATACTTCTACAATGACATTTTACAAAGAATTAGTTTCCACAGGCTAATTAGCACACACCACATAGAGCCTCTTTGTGTTGCACCCAATCTACTTTCTAGAATACATTGTGCAACTTTTTACTAACAGCCAAGTTTTTATTTTTTCATATTTCAAGAAACTTTACATGAAGAAGTTGACCACTTTTTGCAAATACACTCAGGTGTAAAACAGTCTTTCTGACAAGTGAAACGTATGCAACACGATAGTGATTCTAAGCACAGCAGCAACTGTACAATAGATCTGCTGAAAAAAATGAATCAAAGTCCACACTTCAACTTGACTGAAAGGCTGTGGTGGGAAATGACTGGTGCATAAACAGCAATAATGCATTGACCTAAATTCCTCCACAACAGTGTGAGAGGCTAAGGTCACACACAGAAAGACGGTGTTATGGCTGAAAAGGCTTAGAGGATGAGGTATAGTTTGATTTTCTACACAAGTGCTTCTGTATTTTTTTAAGTCTTTCTTAAGTACGTAATGTATTAATGAATCGGGTCACCCGGAATTCTAATCTTCAAAATTTAAAGCAACAACAGATATATTTTTTTAAACTTTAAGCTAGAGCTTTAACATTGATCTCAGTGATTGTTGGGTTAGAAAACTGACCAGTTTTATATTTGACACCACTCTGCGCCCCTCTGCTGACCAAAAACTGCACTAGGTAGTTTTGTGAAGCGGGTAGGTGTTCTACCTGCTTTACGGTTGTTAGCTGTAATGCTGGTGGTTAGCATTTTCAGTTCGCTGATCATCAAGCAAAAAGCACAAGAAGAAGAAAAAGAAGTTTGCTCTTTTTGTTGGCATCATGATGAAGCCTAGAAGTAAAAGTAAGAGAATGATGTAGGTGAAGAAAAAAACTAAAACCAGAGTGAACATCGGAGCGGCCTACGTTTCCAGGAGATAAAGAAGGCTAAAAATCTGATGGTGACCTGGCTTTGTTGCTACTGGACAACAGTGTGGAGCTTTTTACTTTGCGGTTTATTTTAGTATTAGTTGGCTCATGGTAGTGTTAGCTTGTTGTTAGCGCTAGCTACAGTTGGGTTGTTTGACCTCACTTATTTTCAAAATAATGCTATTCATAATTTTTGTTAATTGAGTTTTTTTCTACATAAAATAAAAGCTCTGCAAGGGTTTGTTAACAGTAGTTTGCACACATAAGCTAAGCAGCATAAAATTCCCCTTCCTAACAATGGCATTGGTAGATCAAGAACTTCAAAATAACAAGCCGATCTTATTGAAACCATGTATTTTAAACATGCATGAACAAGCTGAATGGCCTACTGAAAATTTAACTATGGCATCTTATTAGGAAATTGAACTGGTAAATATTCAAGCATTTTGTAAAGGCATAAAGTCCTCTGTCACATTGAAGATAAATTATATGTGTGGGAAGGAGGCACACAGACACTCCTTTTCACTGCTGAGGGGTCAGTTTCCTGGTATGCATGAACATGTTTGCATTCAGTAGTGGACAACCCTACACCACTGATGTCATGGTCACCAGTGCTTTGACAAACTAAGCTCTGTGCCCAGCTCTTTTCCAGGCTTATAAACACCGCTGTGTGTGATGTTTATGTGTCACATTTGGTGACACCCAGCAGACAGGAAGTGAGTCTCAACTCAGAAAAAACTCATTCTAACTAGATTGCGTGACAAATATTTATGCTTGTTTTCTGAAGTGGAAGAAGTATTTGAGTGTTTTTTTTTATTTACGTAAAAGTACAGATAAAGGGGTAAAACCGATGAGTAAAACATAGGCGCTTGAGTAAAAGTTGAAGTACCCAAGACATTTTTTGACTGAAGTAAAAAGATTAAAGTATGCCTTTTCAAAAGTACTTCAAAGGTAAAAATTAAAAGTATTCGGCTAAAATTTAAGTATGCGTTATAAAAGTGTGCTGTCAGATTGGGGGGAGGGGCAACATGCAAATGAAAGTACTATTACCTTCAGAATTGCAGTGGAGCCCAGACGAGTGAGTGTGATAAATCTCAACTTTACTCATATTTTAAATACATTTGCTGTGGTCTCCAGTAGGAATGAATGCCTTGTAAGTCGTACTCTGGGGGAAAAGTGCCGTTACACCTGTTTACGGATGTAGGAGTCAGCAGGAAGAGAAAGCGGCTTCAGACGACAAGATTTGGAGTCTTATTTCCTGCAATTTGGACATCTCAACTGATTAGCTAACAGCAACACAACTCTACCATTTCTGTTTGCTTTGCAACGTTGACGTTTTCTCTCCACAAATAACACAAGCCTAAAGGAGTTCTGCCAAGTTGTGGCATTGCTAATGCTAATGTTTAGCTTCTACTAGTCAAGACCATTCACATGAACACATAGACACCCCATTGGGCGCTGGAGAGCATAACAGCCTCGCCGACCATTTTGGGTAGGTTCCTCACTCTCCAAACCCAACTAGTCAACACAGAGGGAGGAGCTACGCCCGTTTTTTGTGCAACGCACGGTTTCCACAACCGCCGCATTATTGAAAATGGATCACGTTGGACTACTTCTGACTTTTCTAGCCTGCCTGTTGGGATTTTATATTTTAATTTATTTCATTTAATTTTATTTATATGTTGATTATCATGCCATGTATGTCTGACTTAGTGAAAAAACATAATAAAATGTGTTTTTTGAAGTTGGGGAAGCACCTTCCTGAGTAAAAATAAATGCACTGGGGGTGAATGGGGATCCATCCAAGATGGCGGCACACACCTACGCCACCTCTAATAGGAAGCACCAGTCCACGGGTGCCTGTCTGTGGTTGAGATGTTCTCTACTGTTTCCTGGATGCTAAACCAACAACAGCCTTCCCAGTTACAAGTCAAGATGGGTGAGTCCTTGAATGGTATGTGACAGTGTGACATAGATCTGTCAGGCTTTTCTAAACCAAGCATTTTTCTGTCGATTTTCTATCAGAACTAATGCAGTGAATAGGGGTGGAGTAGAAGGCTATTTTTATGTTCAGCCTGCATGACTCAGAGTGGCACATCATTTTCAAAAATAATAAGTGAAAAATGTTTTCTCAGTGAACTTGGTCTTTAATAAAGTATATAGCTTATCAGAAAATGCCTTTCACAATAAAAACATGCAATTAGCAAATAATTGTTAGTTTAATTAAGGGTATGTTATATTTTGAATCCTCTATTAGCAACTAGTTTATGAAATGTCAAATCGATTTAAAAAGCATTTTTGCCACAAACATGGGAATTAACTTATTTATGAGTTTTAAGAGAAATTAGAAAGAACAACTTGTAGCTTTTATTTTAAAAGCGCGAAGCATAAATAACTGTCTCTAGATGACCCAAGCATCAGCTGTTGCTTGGCAAAACAGGGACAAAAATACGGTCAGAGTCATAAAATACATTAACTACCATAGAAATATCTTCCGTGGATACTTACTCTTCTTAAGAGAGGACTCATTTGTTCCGTAGAGCCCTCCATCTACCCTTTCGTCAGATTTCAGCCCCAACATATGCGGTGTGTCCCCGGCTAGAGGCTGCTGCTATACCGGGGGGCACTGACTAAAGGCTGCCTCTGCTTCTCCTGACGACAGGGTTAGGCCACGCCTCTAAAATGATTGACAGCGAGTGATAGCCAATTGGTTTGCAAAACCTGACGTTTTCAGCCAATCTGATTTAATAACACAGTAAAAAGGGCGGGGTCTAAGTCTCTGTCCCTTAAAACAAGCGGGCTTTTTGTGCTTGATTTTTCTCTTCTTGGTCACCCAGCGTGTGTATGACACAACATTTTAACAGTAATTAAAATAAATAAGAGAATTAAAAATACAAACTACTCAGGTATAACTTCTGTTAAGATCATGTTAATTATTTGTTGTTGTTCTGCCACAATACCAAAAAAGACAAATTTGATTTTTTTATTTAACTATAAACTACGTAAAATGAAAGTTTTTTTAAATAAAATATATCATATTTGCTTTTCACTCTTCAAAAAAGTTGCAGTAAAGTAATTAAACTGTATTTTAAATAGATGTGGTCGTCCAAATGTGTGTTCAATGCCACACTGACATGCATTAAGACAAAATCAAAGCAGAGCCAAGTATTCTAGCAGGTTCCAGGAGCCATACTCGTCTAGACAAAGATTTGCACATGCAATGCATGTCTTTAGTTCTGTGATGTTCCCTTATCTTTCTCCTGTTCCAGAGTTGGCTTTTACTGAAACAGTTTGGCGCTTTGGCAGCTGATGGCCTTAAAACATAAAGATCAGCCTTTCAAATCCTGATCAGGGCAACCCTCCAAGAACCGTGTGTTCTACTTCAATGTAGCCAAAGTCATGCTGGCTCAGACATCACCTGGATTAAAGAGATCTGTGTCAGCTGGTGGTGGATCAAGGTGTGCTTTACTTTAAACTAATCCATTTGAACAAAGTCACATGACCATTAAAGTATAATAAACAGATTTAAGCTCCACATGCAATTTAGTTGCATTCAAGTTAAACTCACCAAGAGGCCATATTTAGCACATTATAATTATATTATTGCATTTTGTCAACATTGTTGTTCAAAAACAACTTTTGTGCATCAGTTCAGCTACAAAAATCATGGTTCTGCGTTTAATTTCCCAGCTACACTCTGCACAAAATAGAACCTAAACATCCTCACGTTGGGGACAAGTTTGATTTAAATAAAAAAATTAAACACTCTTGTCATACTGAGTTGTAATAGCTGTGCAATTGAAGTCACACTTCCAATGGGTTTCTTTTGATAAAAAAAATAACTCACACGTTTTTATATAATTTTATAAGTTCTTACTTCCTCCTACTCCCTTTCGAACTTTTTATATGTTAGTTTATGTTCTAATTGATGTAAATGACAAATAATGTGGCTTGTCTTGAATTAGTATGAGGTGCATCATTGTATTTCTTTTCTTTCCTTTTTTATTTGTTCAAACTAAACTAAACTAAACCAAACTATGTCATAAAAAAACTATTATATGTTTCTAAACTGAAAATACACAAAAGCAAGTTGAACCCATGTAATTATTAACTTTGAACAGCAGGTGGCGATGTTGCACCAAGAAATAGAATCAATGCCTCTTAGGGCAGGGGTTGAAGGTGTTTCATTTTGGATAGAATTTCTTTTTTCTCTTTGTGTACTTTTGACATACAGTTATTATGAAGTAAATGTGTTTAGTAGTACAAATGACAAAAACTATTAACATGTTCCAAATAAAACCCAGAAACAATGTTTACGGAGCATCAAACAGTTGAGGAACACATTAGCTGATTTTAATGTAATAACCATCCTGCATCAGAGCAGCATTACATAATCTCTGGGTGATTATGCCATAAACTTAACAGCAACAGAATAAAACCCAGCTGTGACAGAACGCAGACAGGTGCAAACATCCCGTCTAGTCCCTCAGAAGTGCTCGCTGGTTGCCTCACTTCAAATAGAGCCCATTCCTCACCCGCCCATCAACTTCCACCATAATCACGCTGCAGCTCAGAAATAGAACTGCGAGGTGGGAGATCAAACTATCACCTCTTAACTGTACCCTGAGTCTTAAAGATGCTGAGAGCCTATTAGCGCACAAAGAAGCGAGGTGTTTACTGCTCCTGAAACATGCATTAGTACAATGCAACTGGGAGATGAGTCAGAAGTTAAACAAGTGAAAAAAAGCACCACACTGGCATCCACCTGTGCTTGGATACGCGTCAAGAAATGCAGACAATAAGGTGTGGCAGGTGATGAGAAAGAAAGTTTATTTCTTTGGATGGGAAAGGGAAGAGCAGATGAGGCGAGCTAAAGTTACAAATGTACAAAAATTGATGTAATTCAGTTTGTCATCTCTGGAATTTGTGGAGGGATTTCTTACGCAGGCTGGGAAAGGCACCAGGATTGCAATTCCTTTTGACATCAGGAGCAACAAACTGATTATTGATCATGTTTTATGCCATAAGCAGATGAAATGAAGGTACCCTCAGCCCCAGAAGGATTCGTGGAAGTTGTTTGTCTCCAGCAGAAAATACACGAGAGAAAAGAGGGAATGAAAAATTCCCAAATCTGTCCGAGAGTGCCATCAAAGTGCCAATGCATTGATTTTGACCACAGATTTTCTTCCACCTAGCTGCCTCTGCACGCCCTAGCCCAAACACAGCTGTCAAGATTGTGGTCTTTTGAGAGTGTCTCAGTGCCCCTGAACTCCTCTGGGGCACTTGGAGCGGGGTGGAGGGGGGTTGAGACCAGTAACAACGATCCCCAAATCAACACCGGGACTGTAGTGGGAGGGGTAAGTTGATAAACAGTCGTGGTGATCCGGAGGAGAAGGTGGACAGCAGGGATGGCAGGGGAGGGGGTTTCAGCCTGTCGGGGTGCGTTCCACTGCCCCCCAGAGGGAAGGCAGGGGTTCGAAATCAATGTCCTGTTAAGTGCAGCTTAGCCGCGGGACACTCTCCAACATTACCCATGCACCAGTAAATCCAGGCCCAGTCTGCCCCGCCGCAGACGCCGTCTGAGGCCACCAACGGGAAGCTCTTCGCCACCTCAAGCTTCTTTCACCTCCACGCTCCGTGCCAGCACTCGACACACTTCTCCAAACAGTTGTGGTGCTGCTAACTTGAGAGTCATCTCACAACAGGGTCTCACTCCCACAGACCTGTGAGCATCGTACCAGCACCGCGCTCCAGCCTCCCCCATCCGCTGGCGATGGAGGAATCCAGAAGGAAACGGTTAGCTAAACATGAATTCATTAACAGATAGGATGAGCTAAAAGAGACCAGACTGTTGTACTGTCACTGCGATCCCTTTAACACCTTTATGCTCACCTCTCTGGTCTCAGTCTGTATCTGAAACCCGGGCCAAGGTACATTTAAACATTTTCCTGCATCCGGGACGCAGCAACTCGTGTACTTATCATTTCACATCCTGTTTGGTGATTTAAGCTCATCAAGCCATAAGGAATGTTCATTATCGGCGTTTTTACCGATACACCGGTATAGTCTGACTCTCAATGTCCAATATTTGCAGGGAGGAACCTCGTTAAAATAATAAAACTAAATTGTTTTAGGTAATTATCAGTGCAAAATATCACAAAGTTAGGCTGTTTGAACCAAACTAACAACAATATCCCACAGACTACACGTCTGATCGGTCACATTTTGACATATTTTAGTGAGAGGAGAATCAGTTGAGGAGTTTGATGTATAACATGGCATGTATAAGTGGTGCCATTGGCAGAGTAAGAACTGCTACCAATAAATTTCGACATTACATTTGAATGCCAAATGTCATATTCTGAACATCCATATTTTATATCCAAACAAATCATTCAAATTTGCTTTTTCTTGCTTTTGCTTTTGATCCATTCTTCAGCCCAGTTACTGAATGTATTCTTGCTCTTCTTACCATTGTGGTTATCTTATTTTTTTAAATCTTTTATATGTAAATTAGCTTGCATATTTTGTTATGCACAATGACCTTTTGTCGTGTGCACTAATGCTACCTTAAAAAAACTCAAGAACTAAAAATTTCCCATAATCATGAGTAAATTTAAAAACATTAGGTTTACCTTAATGTGAGTATTTCTTGTTATTTTTGCCATATTTCTACTCTTATTGTCCCACATATTAATAAGTCCAGGGGTGGACATTAAATCTTATGTTGCACACGTGAATAAATAGTGTGTTTTGTTGCGAGTTTTATTCCATTTTGGCTGTTAACACAGACGAGAGCGCAATGAGCAGTGTCTTCTCCAAAAGTCAAACAGCACTGAATAACTAATTAACACTTAACATAAACATTCACATTCTTAGCTTGACCTTAATAAAAAAAAAAGTCAGTTACATTTCACTCCTTTCCAGCACACAACATTTGTAGCAGCATCAATAAGTCCTAGCACAACTGGTAAAAGTTAGCTTAGCTGTTAGCTTACCCACGCTACCATATAAAACTAACATTTTTGCAAAACAAACCTACAGGGATAGACGGCCAACATTCCCCTCATTAACCCGGACTTCTAACCAATCTCCTTCATTGCTGTTATTGTGTTATTTGTGCATTTTTACCTGTTAACACAGACGAGAGCGCAATGAGCAGCGTCTTCTCCAACAGTCAAACAGCACTGAATTAGTTATGTGACGTTCACGAACGAAACAAATCTTTTGAACGAGTTTTCAAAGTGAACGATGAGAGCCGAGTCCCTGTAGAGAGCCGTTCATCTTAACAAACCTCCCCGGAAGTCGGTCAAACTCACCCGCTCAAACCCCACCCACCGCTGTGACGGACGTAGTGACAATGTGTAATTTTTACCATTAATCTCTGAAAACATCTATTGAAATGTTGTTGTAAATGAATGAAAAAATCCCCAGTTGTTGAAAATATTGGCAGTTTCATAACATATAACCATAAAAATTGAGTCTAAAATACATGGGAGTGGGTCTTAGGGTGTTTCTCAACGTCAAGGAACCTTGCCTTGATGTCTTGGCCCCGCCCCGGTTGTCTAGGAGATACGTTATCAGGAACCTCTGCGACGTGTTCCAATGTTCATGTTCTACCGAGGCGTGTGTTCTCCATTTGT